AAATACCACTTGGACGGCACTGGGGGGTAGCGATCAGTCGACAACTCTTCGCATTGAAATCTTTTTTTTCATTGTTCTAAAATGCCTAATTCAATATCGGGATGAGCCTTATGGACAACGACCTCACGAGGTATATCCAAGCATCTTCCAAAAAGCAGAAACAGCAAATGGAACACATTGATCAACAAGCCAGTCAGAGCAGGCCAAGTACAATTGTATTCGACTATGTTCATGCAACGCCTTGCTGGTGATGTTCTGGCCATGTACTCCGAAACCACAGCACTTCCCTAGACCTGTTCCGCTGGATATTTTTAATCTACGAGACAGCGCTGAATGCCAGCATTGGTGGACGGTTTCGGATACCTTTAAATTAACAGTCCAGCTGTAGGGTTAAGTTGACTTGGTGGGGCCGAGGGAGAAGGGTGTGACAACCATGGAGTAAACTTTGCGAAAAAAAACGAGTAGGCGAATATGAATTGGACAATTCTGAAGTATTAAAAATGGCCAGTTTGTTGCATTGCCCTTAACACCCAAAATTGTTACACATAACAGAGCCAGTACAATCTCCTCAGCAATGCAGATTTGGGCAAGCTTCTACGTGATGGATAAATTTTAGTAAAAACTACTTATTTGACAACTGAAGCTGAGGCAGCGTCCTCTTCGTGAAGTATTTTTCTGTTCTGCAAACGTATTAACAGTAAAAAAACACCCCACCTACAGCCGTTGGGCTTAGACGAACAGAATCAATATGTCATCTTACCTTCAACTGAGGACAACAACTCAAATGGCTTGCCAATAAAAAGTGCGACTGCATTTGAGAAACATACACAACACAAATCCTATGGTTCGACATTCACGCAGGTACACAGTGAACCCATTCCACTGCTGCTGAGGTTTTGTTTAGTTCATATTTGAGTTTTTAAACTCCCGTTCGCAAAAACTCTGAAAGAACGTAAATATTTACCATACTGACGGCATAGATGCCAACTGAAATTCCAGATACGTGTGCTTTGATGATCTTGTGGAACTGTCTGACGCATCTGCGAGGGGTTCGGCTCATCGGTGGGTCCCTCCCCCAGCGTTTCTGTGTGTTTTTTGGTAATGTGAGCCGCTACTACTACTATTCGCAAATAATTGCACAATTGTGATACCGAATCTCTGCCTCCAATTAGACATTTTTCGATCGTTGAAAGAGCTGGCCCGAAATCAATCTTCGTATGCTAGATGGTAGAAGGTGGTCCGCTGCAATTCGCATGTAACTCGAAGTAAAGTATTTCCATAGTTTCGAACAACAGTTGTCCTACATATGGAGTTTAATTTCTCGATTAAACGTCTGCTTCTAATAAAGTGTGCAATTGGTCCATGCGAATTTTTTATTGGCTTTACGGTGGCCTTTGTTACCGACTCAATCTAGTCGATTCGAGCAAATGCAAAACGGCCCTTCATTCCAACAACTAAGATGGGATTTATCACGGTCTGTTGGCTGACTGCGACACGGAAATAGGAACCCACCCCCACCCCCAAAATACACGTAAGCACGGCAAGGCAACGAGCCGTGGCGCAGTGGGTTGGAAAGTTGGATTTCTAACTAATAAAGTCGCGGTTTCGAACCTCGGGTGGGGCATAACTTGGCGGTGGGTATGACTGGCTGGTGACGGCTAATAAACCAGCAATGGTCATTCCAGTGTCGCTTGTCCTTGTCGGTAATGTCCTTATGCAAGTATGTGCTGGATTGCAGGAGGAATATCTATTTCAATGTCCTAATCTCAACCCCACCTCTAATATCTATGGAATTTAGAACAATGCCATCTGTACGACGGACAGTCGTTCTTCCTGTGTCCTATAGAAGGTTGTTGGGACCGCTTCTGCCGCCACAAGTTAATCAGATACGATCTGAAGAAGGGAGTGCCCGGATTAATCTATAATGTGGTCACCACGAAAAAGGTCAAATGCACTCTGATCATAAGCCAATAAAATACGAATTCCGACCGTAGCATCTTCCCAGTCTCGCACAATTTTTAATTCCTTGCCACCCACCTATTCTACCATCCCATCTCTTCCGATCACTTAATCCTGCAAAACTCTTATACTCGGTTCAACGACAACCTTAATTTGGTAGGTCATTCGCAGACCGACTTCGTTATGACAGGGCTCATGCGCCGCGTATCGATCGACTGTCAATGACCGACAGATCTCCCGTTGAAGTCGTTGATTACTAATTGGGTGTGTTGGTCAATATATAAGGACTTGTTTCCGAATGATAGATTTTTTGGAAATTTTGGCGGATTTATTTTGACTGACGACAAACTGTACGTTTGTTCTGAACATATTGACCATAACCATGATTCCTCGTCTATGTAGGAAGAATACCTCTACATGTTATGTGCTTGTCCTATCCGGCTCATTTAGCCCTCAACTTATACTCCCTTACAGCATCACAACTTGAAAAGTTTTCAGAAAATGCACCTTAATCTAGATACGGACGGGAAAAATTAGTAAATGCATACATCAACCAATTGCGTGAAACGAGGGTCTGTAACCTGGCACAAAGTACGACGTTACAAAAGTCAAGTCTGACTGAGTCCTGATGCCGTCTAGTGAACAGCGTGGGAAATAAATATTTAAAATCAAGTAATTAACATTTTCCACAGTCGAAGGACGGCGCTTCTAACGCTTTATGCTTAGAATGCGAGCGCTGCTACCTCCAGGGCAGGCAAGACGCATTTGTTTAGGACTTCGCGAAAGGTCAACCAAATCCGTCTGGCGGGTAAGCCTGTGGCGAGACAACCTGGCGCACGATGTAGGTGCCCTGGACCGGGACGGAGGACAGACTGCATCGTGGCACAGGTTTCTCATTGGCTGATAGGCGCTCACCGATCGAAACCGGTAAGGTAACGATGGGCCCGTGGGGCCCGCGGTTAGAGCGTTGAACTTCTAACTAACAAGGTCGTGTGTTCGAACCTTGACGGCCGTCATCCCTGAGATTGGGTGTGGCTGACTGATGACAGTGCTGGGCAAGTCTGCTTATCGGTATAAAGGAATGCACACACACAAATCACTGTTCTCTATCCACCCGGTGGCGCACATACAGTACGCGCCAGAATTCGTGCAACATGCCGATTGTGCGAAAGATTGATACTCGTTCGCTAATCGGCATTGACTCAGGTTGTGATACTGATTATCTCCTAGCCTATTCTGAAGTTACTTCAGTCATGATAGGATGCGGACTTTTCAACGTGCTCCGTTCTGCCCACAAACAAAACTTATGTACTATAGAAAGCAACTACTTAAACAGTATGTGTTTTTATCATTGATTTTGACTGCCTTTATAGATTCAACTATATTTTATGGAAGACGTACACGAAAAAAAATTATTTCTTGTATTCGTTTTGTAGGAAATTACGCCTTCTTGAAATTTTATACTTAAAGAAAAAGGTATTTTCCGGTTTGAAAAATGTCTAATTAGGTGAGGAGTTCATTCATAATACATCGTATCCGTCCAATTATTAATGCTATCTATACTGTATAAAGCACGCTCCACGCCTATTGCAAAATTTTATGAGAACTATGTGACTTCTTCCTCAAACTGTAGGCGAAAACGTACTTTCCTTAAACAGGATGCACACAGTGCGCAGTTTCTAAACCCTGGATTCGAGCGTAGCAGTCAGTAGATTTCAAGATTATTCGGCAATTTACAAAACTTTTAAAACCGACAGATACCCTTTCTTTAAATATAAAATTTAAAGAAGGCGTAAGTTGCTACCAAAATAGTACGATAAATAATTTTTTCGTTCACGTTTTTCATGAAATATATTTGAATTTATGAAGGCAGTCAAAATCAATGGTAAATACGTATGCTATTTAAGTAGTTATTTTTTACAGCATGTGCGTTTTTTAGCGGGCAGAACTAAGCTCGTTAAAAAGCTGACATCCTATCATGACTGAAATAACTTCAGAATAGACTACAGGATAACCAGTATCACAACCTGAGTCGATGCCGATTAACGAAAGAGTATCAATCGTTCGCATATGTCGGCATGTTGCAAGAATTCTGGCGCGCACTGTAATGAATATCATCGATCGCAGCGGTAAAAATGCATACCGGAGGAAGGAGCAGATAAAGGGGAGGGAAGGAGGGCGCAGAAAACAGGAATTAAACCACACGCAGTCAGGGCTATGTGCGTATTCTGGCCAATGCAACGGAGACCGTAGCTGTGCGACAAACCTCGAGCCTAGCCAACTTATTCACTGTCCACGTGTATAGCGAACTGACACTTAAACAGGATGGAATTAAAACAGTAGGCGAGATCACCAGGTCACGTCAATCGATAGCGACCACGCAAGGCATAGCTTAGGCGAATTGTCCGCAGGGCTTCGGTTAACGCCTTCTTTATGACCTCGCCGAAGGTCAAAAGTACTAAAAGGGAAAATGTCCTGCCTGGCTATGCCAATAACAACAACCGGAACACAGCAACGCAAAAAGGACTAGATGAGTATCTGTTTAGAAAAGTGCCAAGCCAATTAACTCCAACTCAACAAAACATGTGAGACTGGATTATGCGAAAAGGATTGCTGATATGGCTCGGGGGAAGAACCGGACAACAGGAATGGTTTGCAATACAAGTAGCTTTATGCTAAATTCCAGGTAAATTAAGATGATGGTAAAGGGTGGTGTGTAAGTTAAGATGAATAACGACTAAGGTCTGGTTTAGGGTTAGGAAATGGAAATATTAACTCTTCGTGAAATTTAGCGCAAGGCCACCTTCAATTAGTTTTGTTTATTTTCCCTTACTTTAGTATATATTATATATTAATTATTTGAGTACATTTATCTAGCGTTGCAGGTACTCAAATAAAATTAATAAAATAAAAGTAATCACAGGAATAGGGGCTAGGGGTATATAAGGTAGATGACCAACTTAACTTTTGCCCAGTTCCGATCAACCAGATCGAAATATTTATGCATATGTTACTGAAACAACCTTATACTTGCCCGCAGGTCAACCCACCAGAAGCGACTGATGGGATATTGCAAGTACAATGCCAAGAGGCCACCAGGCAAAACTCACAGAAAGGACAACATGATAGACCCAGTGGTCGCTCATGGAGTCGCCAGCCAACTCTTGACGCCTGCGATCACCGATGGCCTGCTTATCCAACGGCACCTCAAAGGGATCCTTGAAGGCAAGGCAGGCTGCCACCGCGAGGATAGGCTCCAAACAGCAGAAGAGCGCGCCCAAAATAAGGAGTTTAGCACACTGCGGTTCCAGGGGGAGGTTGGCCAGATGATAACCCAGGGAGGTGAGTCGGTCATTATCCGCGGGAAGGATAGGCGTGGCGTTAACGGATGAAAGTCCATTCTGGATGGCACTGTTCATGAGGCGCTGACGCTGTTTCTTGGACATTTTAGTC